TCCATACAGGATGACTTTATTTAATTAAATGAATTAAATTCTTATTTAACTGTTTCAGGGTCTACATATGGGATCCTGCAGCTTTTCTCAAGCACAGTAGTTGTAAGTACTGACTTTGTTTTTCTCTCTTCACTATTTCTCACTCGGCGGGACATGCCCACACTTAGTGGYCAAAGTAGTTGCATTCCACGTGATTTCTGGCATTTAGTGAAAACAATACACACTGGATCTTTTAGGCTGATTGTGGTCACACAGCGCATTCAGAATGCACACGTTCGCTCACATAGATCGATCCTAATCAGACACAAAACTCTTCTTTTTTTTAAACAGAGAAATCAATCTCTACTCTTTAACASGACTCCTGACTAAACGTTTTATGTTACAAACAAATCTCAGTTTCCTGACAAAAGGTTTAGCACATGAACTTAAGGTCTCCGCTCGCTTTCTGCTGCAGCACAGAACTCCTAAAATTGGCTAAATTCTCGGTGGTCATGCGACAAATTAAACACATAAAGAGCGATCTGTTGGTTCCTTTATGCAGACCGGCTGAATCCTGATGAATGTAGGGATAGTTGAACAGCTGGGTTACTATGGTATCCCACATCCAGAACACAGACCARCTCAGTTAGTCCTAATATTATTATTTCATCATGAACGTGTCTGAGAGAAGGGGCGAGAATCTAATAAAACAAGAACGCCTTGGTTCAGAGATGGTATAACGTTTTAGTGCTTCATTCATTTGGAGTCATGTGATGYGTTAAACCCAAACTTTTAATCATATTTATTCATGGAATATGATATTTTAAATGAACTCCTCCTTTAGAAATACCCATCAACTGATCTCTGGGTGAATCTGTGTGATTGTCAGGGCAGCTGGAGTGACGTGGTCGGACGGCGGTACTCTCTGCTGACATGTCTGCTGCTCAGCGCTCTGGGCTATGGCCTCCTTGGGATGTCTACGAGCATCACTTTRTTTATCCTCGCACGGATACCTGTGGGTGAGTCAGAAGGCAGCACTAAGAATATTTAATTTTAAATTGATTATCGCCCACCACCAAAATACAGTTGGTTTTTTAGCAAAATGTTGCATAAACTACCGGTCGGATTATGCATGTGTGCAAATATTCCATAATAACTCAAAAAGAAAAAAATWAGTAGRTCCTCTGGATAAGTGAAGAATTTATCTGACAGAGAACTCACCCAGCCAGAAACCGAAATCCTGTCCAGAGGACTGAACTTTTCGGTCGCACCAAGAAGAATTCCTCTGGTTGAGATGATCACAGCCACAGAATCAGCCATTTGCAACAACAAAATCCCAGAATTTGAAGCAGAACAACTTAGGAACAAAGTTTCAGCCTGTCTCAGCAATGTCAAACCACCACCTTTCAACATTAGTAGAGAAGAGAGATGCTCTCACCACCCTCAGCAAGGACAAGAACATCATCATCGTCTCAGCAGACAAAGGAAGGTACACAGTGATTTTGAACCAGAAAGACTACCATGAAAAGGTTATGACACTCCTTAGTGACAAGACCACACACGAGCCACTGAAAAGAGATCCAGGAAGCAGATACAAGAAGAAGTTGATAGAGTGCCTGAAAAAGTTTAGAGCAGGACAAGGCTATTAACCGCATTCTGTACCACACACTGTACCCAGGTGAGGCCACTCCTAGTCTGTATGGTTTACTCAAAATTCACAAACAGGATGTACTGGTAAGACCCATTGTTAGCATGATCAACTCTGTCACTTACAATGTTTCCAAATATCTAGCGTCAGTACTTGGTCCATTAGTTGGCATTTCAGATCGTCACATACAGAACATCATGGACTTTGTGAACAAGGTGAGTGATGCCATCATGGAGACGGATGAAACTATGGTCTCCTTTGATGTCACATCACTCTTTACGTGCATTCCCGTTGATAAGGCGTTGGATGTGGTCTGTGTAAGATTGAAATCAGACGCCACTCTCAGCAGCAGAACCACTCTTTCTACAGAACAACTGTGTCAACTTCTGAAACTGTGCCTGGAATCAACCTATTTCACATATGGGGTGGGTGGGGGCAATACTATAAGCAGAAACATGGGTGTGCTATGGGCTCACCAGTTTCCCCTATTGTTGCAAACCTGTACATGGAAGAGTTGGAAAAGAGAGCTCTGATGTCCTTTACAGGGACACCACCGAGCCATTGGTTGAGGTATGTTGATGACACCTGGGTTAAAATTAAATCCCAGGAAGTCCAACATTTCACTGATCACATCATCTCTGTGGATAAATATATAAAATTCACACGAGAGGATGTAAAAGATGGCAGGTTGGCATTCCTGGACTGTGATGTCTCAGTTTCGGATGGAGGACAGTTAGAAACTGACATGTACCACAAACCCACCCATGTAGAC